TTTCTGTAATTAAACTGTAAAATACCTTCCAGGTGGGAAATTAGGAGACGATGGCGGTCTGAATACAATATCTTATTCCACATTGCTCAGAAGCAAAAAAAAACTTCCCATTATCACCCAGTCACATGCTAATCTCAGACGTGAACGACGGGCGCCTTTCTTTGCTAGGCCATCCGTCTTGCCCGTCTTACAATCGGAAAACAGGCTGTAAACTTCGGTATCGAACCTGGCACCTCCTGGTTAGCGAGTCAGCGTCTAACTTATTACTGGGTTGCGTTTGTAATTTATGAGATAAACGAAATAAAAAATCCTAACTGATTTTATACGTCCACAAACTATAGGAACATTGAAATAAGCATGACTTAGCTTAAAATCAAATATTAATGATATAACAAATGAGTTAATGATGTCAGTTGTCTCCCTTTGGGCCATAAAATTTATCATGTTTAATATTTCATAATTTGAATATCATTGAAGATTTAATAACATAAATTCATTTCCGGTATTTTGAATGATATACGAGTTTCTTTGAAGATATTAGTCATTTCTGTAATACGAATCCGACACTGAAAGTAAAAATCACACCGGTTTACCATCTTGATTTATGACCACATCCGTGGCCAAAAGCTGGTTATTGAATTCGTGTGTCATATCATGAGGGTTGGAAACCCGGCTTCGGGCTGCGAAGGATCTTCGTGATTTTTACCTCATGGTTGCTAGTGGGACCAAACGGTATCTTATCGCCGCTCCCGTTGTCTTCTTCCCTGCTGTTTAACAGGGCTGGAATAAACTGTTTAGGGTCTGAATCACCAATTGATGGGCGCAACTTGAGGAAGCCCTGGCTGGAAACCAGTTTACAAACGACTTCCATGTTAGTTTCAAAATTGCCGAATTATTGTTTTGGCGAGACGTTAAGCTTGATTCACTCGTAGCTAAACTGTGTATGTTGCAAATAACTAATCTACCAAGGAAACCGAAATTAAATCTCAAGGGAAATAAAATGACATAGGATTAATGTTCTAACTATCTGCACCAATCAGGCCATATAATGTACTGCGAGCTAAATGTTGTCCAAAGAGCGGCGGTTCCGCCTACACGTCATCGAATTCCAACTGTGAATGGTTCTTGGGTTAGGGTTAGCGCTAGCCCTGTTTACATCTTGTTACCTTGAGGAAATTATAACCCTTACCCACCGCTGTCTAGGAGGGTACCAATCTTCTCTATAGGGCTCTATGGGGTTGTAAGGGTGATTTAAATTTTAAGTCGTCGAAAACCACCGCACAGACGAAAAACACATGCAATTTCGTATAGATAGATAGTGTGATAACTTGGATTTCGTTTCAGAAGATTAAGTTTGAAGTAAAAGATTAAAAGACGTATGTAACGATAGTCCAGGATTGCGTTTTCAGACTTCAACAACAACTTTATTCAAACTCTCAAACGTTTTACATTTGAGGTCGTCAATATAAGTCAAAACATACAGGCATTTACTGTTCAATAGCAGTACTTAACATACTTACCATCCCGCATTGTATCGCTGAATGATTTTTAAATATAGGTTTTGTTATTTTAGACGAATTGAACTCCCTAATTATACCCTAGAAATATACTCGACTAATATCAGACTATAATTACTATTTTCAAGATGCCTAACTTAAATTAGATATAATAATGTGCTTGCGTCATAATATACGCACCTTGGTAGAAAAAAAAACCCTGCTTATAATTTTTGCCAGAACGGATTTCAGTGGCTAAATGTGGTGGTAGGTGGGGGGGGGGGTTGTTGTAAGTTAATACACTGTATTTAAGTTTCATGTATCCGTCTGAATTAATGTGCAGTTTACGTGTATATTTCTGAGAGATCCAGTCCAGGTTTATAGACGTGAAAGGATGAAACGATCACTTTTCGTGTGCTTCGGTGTTTTTTTTTTATTTTTATTTCCGGTTCTTTCTTGTGGATCTGGAAGCACAATGTTATCGGGTCTTAAACGACTTAGATGTGTCTGTCATATATAGATACATTATTTTATAGTCGTTTGTATTTACAGTTTTCGAATCCTAGAGTTCTAACTTGGCGCAATATAGCCCCATCGATGCTGATGTGAAACACCATTTCATTTCAAATATAGTTCTAACACATGCTATTTAATCATAAGTGTATTTCCTGTAGCTAGAAAGACTTCATAAAATGTGCACGTAATTTATTTCCAGCTTTTCTCTTAATCTTGAAAGGAGCGAGAAGGGTGTTGGGGCACATATTAAAATATGTGATACCATCAATAATAAAGGGAAATCTAAATTCAGTTCGAAGCCCAAAAGAAAGTAGATAAACTTTTTCTTTCGAAGGATAACAGAAACTTTTCAACTTTCTGATTTTATTTTTTGGTTACCAAATCCCAAATTTCACGGTAACCGCCATTACAATGCCACACTCCTTTATCGTCCATGTAGGTGTAGACAAGCAATCGATAAATAATGGGTACCCGAACTACATAAATGGAAAGTCTATGGAAGTACATACTTATATCCCATAAGGGAGACATACCTTATCTTTAAAAAGGCCTTATATGTTTTTCGTGGAATATTCTTTTAAATTAGGCAAAAGTACAAAATCATTTACTCTATTTTCAGTATCAAGCCTCCGCGAATAAAATGAGCAAATAATGCTTAAAAAGGATACAAGAAGTTGAATTAGATGGATTCAGCTGTTAGACGACCTCGTTCACACCTAACTAGATTTAACGTGACAAGCCGTGCTCTTTATTTCATTAAAACAATGACAATTAGATTATACGCTTCCTTGCTAGATGGCGATATAGGCGTAGTGATTAATGTGATTAGGCCGGCATTAGACCGCTTTATACCCTCATCTGACGGTCAATCCACTCCTGAGAAAACGACTAAAAATCAACCAAGCATGATGGACGATTAAAAAACAAGACGAAGCATTGAAATGGTTTTGAGATGGAAATGGCAGTCGAGGCTTGCCGGATACCAGGCTGTCAGGCGTGTTTACCGAGCTGTCAATGTTAATCTCCGACTAAGCTAGCCTTGTAATGGCCGTTCTAACTGACTCAGCTTCTGCCATTAAAATAATTGAATTCGTCTTGAAAACCTCCATAAGTCCAATCCCAACAATTGTCCACATTTGCAATCCTCTCTCGTTAGCCAGGGTTTCTTCTGATGGAGAGGAAATGCTGATTGACGCGCGTGCTCGGTAGTGCGAGCTCGATGCACGTGTCTGATACACTGCGCGTGCAAAGGTGTCAATTTTGCCAATGTGGAATATGGGAGTAATCCGCCCCGATAGCTTGGAGTTAATGGAATTGGTGATGTTAAGATTTGCATCTGATGTAGTCGTAGAACTGATGAGGATAAATACAGCAAGATGATCCTGGCCATTTAACCCCCCAATATCTGTATTACTCCTAATCAACCCATTTATTAACTCCAATACGACCATTTATCATCCACGGTGGCCAATAAAAACTGATTGACTCCGTCTTCAATCGCTCTCTTGTTTTATGTAGTTTTAAGTGGCACAAGGAGGTAATTAAGGTGGACATCTTGGAAGGGTCATCTTTCCGATAAAGATAAAATCGCTTATTGGTATTGTTTTACAATGTAAATGTCAGCATCCAGTAAGAACAGGGGCAATGTAGGAGCAGCTTAAGAATCTGTACACAACGTTTTCCCAACCATAACCCTCATGAACAGAGTTTGATATGGAGTCTATTTTTATGATATCAAGCAAAACATCCACCATTATAATGGACACCCGAGGAGAGACGGGGACTTTAATTTATCCATTTTGGGAAGCACGCGAGTCTTTGTGAGTGATAGAAACATAGGCACAAACAGGTCACCTTCTCACCTTGTGGATTACAGAAATACAACGCAATGTGTTGGCTATAATTTTTCTATTGGCTTTTAAGCCGAATATGAGACTGCCAAATAATTAGGGAAACACACAAGGATCATTGTCCTCTCCATTTTTATTTAGAGTATACACATCTTGACACTATTGAGTTGAGTAAAGTGGACAGTGTCGATTTTATTGATCTGATTCGCGAAATGTCTCAAGTGGGACGTCATAACATAATTAATGTAGCGAAGTTGTCAGGTTAGGGGACGTTTCGGCTAACCACAGTTGTCGTTGAGTGTTGACGTGGATACTATAACTGGTCTGAGGTGTCAGTAGAATGACGTGTCGTTAACTAGCCTGACATGACATGTCATGTCATATTATTTTTACAGATTTATTGACGGTAAATACCTCGATTGATCCGATAACAGAACAATTTATCAAAATGTGATGCACTAGATGTTGAAATTTCTTTTTCAAGCCACAGCCATAAAAGAAAACCAAGCCACTGAGCTGTTCGGCTACATGACAGGTTTTAAACATCTAACCGTGTCATACAAGGTAGGGCCGTTCGGTGCTGTCCATTTTCAGATTGGGAGTTCATTTCCATGCGGGATTTCTTGGTAACCCTGAAGTTTATTTTGGCTAAGGCGGCGTGTGGACAATTCTGGCCTTATTTTAGTCCGTTTGGGGCGGTCATTTCCGTACCAAGACCTTACCCATGGGAAACTCTGGGTAAGCCTAACCCTTGCGGAGATTTTTGACCTCTCCAACCGACCTGGAAATAGACTACCAATCCAAGGGGACTACTGGGGTTAGGCTATATGGTCAAAGATTCCCACAGGTTTCCCAGTTTGGCCTCCCCTTGGTAGTGATGCAAGACAGGCAGTCTGAGAAAGAAAGGCGTCTCGTCTTCCCGATGGGACGAAAAACCGAGGACCCATGTATACATTGGAAATCGGTATAAGAGTAAAACGTAGTGCCGCTGTCGGGGCAAAATGTCCCCCATAGCACACCGCAAACTATAAATTATTGTTTTAGTCATAGGCTAAGGTACACATTTAAGAATTTCTCAAATTTAGACATATATGTGTGACTTCCGGGCGTAGGATATTAGAAACAATATCAAGAAAGCTATTTTTGAAGATTTTATTTCAAATTAAAGAAACAAATGAATAAATATTTTTAAAGATACATTATGTACAATTTATATAAAGAGTTGGTTTGTCGTTTATGCTATACTAGTTCAAATATTTTTAAAGATACATTATGTAAGATTTAGATCAAGAGTTGGTCGCTCATGCTATAATACACTGTAGTTCAAAAATAGATAATGCAAAATGCGAAAATTTCATTCAAGTTACTTTATTCTGAGCTAAGATATTAGCCTTTAAAGGTTTGACAAGACGTGTGCACTGCTTGTAATAACCGTACTGGTTCTTCGAAGCTTAGCCTAGCTTCACCAATTTTAGATTAAATTATTAAATGGCTGAACTGTTCTAATCTACTTAAAATCAGACCAATCTGAAGGTATCCAGAGTTGATTATAGTCTAGCCATGTTAACAAATGTGTAATTAATTGTTTTTATAACATATAAGGCCTAAAGAAAGACCTGCTATAGGCAGATTCTGCCCTTGTATAATGTATGTTTAATAGGCTGTAGAAGTGAAAGAGATAAAACTAAATATTATTTCCACCATCTTACCATATACGTCTTATTAATAGCCAAATTAGAAATAAATGTTCAATATTCTTGATATCCATCATATTGTATAGTATTCTTCACTTACCCTTTTTAAATAACTTGCCGTACAAATATATTACGGATGGGAATCCTAATGTGGACGCAGAAGTAACTATTCCGGTTTATCAGGAGTAATGTCAGGGACTAACATTTGAAAATATATCTATAAACTGAGCTCCCGTGTACACATTGGCGTGCACATAAAAGATCCCTTTTGGAATTCAATGTAAGAGTAAATCTTGGCGCTGCTGTGTCTGCAAAATTTCCCTCATAGCACACTGGCGTATGCCCGTCTTTATTAGCCCAGTCGGAGCAGAATGGCAGGACGTTAAACCCAATTTCATTTTATTTCTGATATTTTCTAAAATAATAATATTCTGCTCTTTATTTGTTTAAGTATTGTTCAATACATTTTCTTTAATCAGCTGGATACAGGAAAAGAAATTCTATGGTTCAAGTGAGACATCTTCAATTTATAAAGTTTACGAATTTTTAATTATTTTTTTTAACTTTTATTTTACGTTGTCAAGAGAACAAAAAACGGAATTTAAATTAGGAAGGTTATTACATTATATGAGGATATATAGACTATAGTGTGCTCTAAACAAACGTGTGAATCTCTATACAAAATCGATGTAAAGCAGGTAGATCTCTGTGTGCATTTGAAGAGTATAGGTTTGGTCCAGAGTCACCAGTCATATTTTTGTGTGCAATTGAAAGGGGGTAGGTTGGTCCAGAGTAACCAGTCATATACATAGAGAGAGAGTGTGGCCAACTGATGTCCCAATTGTGATTGGGTATAAAAATTGTTTGTTTTTTTGTCTAATCATAGTGCTATACAATTACAGAATCGTACACAGTTTCCGGCTCCAATCCTACACATATCTATAATTCCGTTTTTTTTAACGGATACTTATTAGTTTATATATATTTTTTTTCTATTGATCTATAAAAATTAAAGATTGCGCAACAAAATGGGTTCCATGACCCAAGAAAGCCATAGGTAACAAAATGGCGACCTATGCTGCAGTTGACCAGAAGTAACAAAATGGCGACCATGATGGCAGTTGGCAAGGGGTAAAAATTGGCGACCATGGGCGCTACCGGCCGAACTCTCTACCCTACACCCACAGAACATACAATTTATTAACTAGTACTCAATAAAACACCTTTAAGTCATAGAAATGAATTTTCCTGGTGCATTCATCTTCGGAGTTTGTTTTAATAAGTTATTCTATTCAAGTTATACACGTGTCATCCGGTACATTATTACACCGCTGAAAGAACACCTCTAAATTGTTTTCCTTTCTATAACTTTAATATCTATCTTGGGACGAAGTAAATAATAGAAGAAAATCAACACCCAGTCTTAGACTATTACACACAACTTACTTAATTAATTACGTTATGTCAACAACACTATCATAGAATCCTCGTTCATTCAATTTATTGTTTAACAGAAATGTTTGGTTTTATATTAAGAACATCGTATTAGTAACGTGGTCAGAACTCTTTCATAAATCGGAATTTATTTAAGGGTATTGAAAAGAAACGACACCGACATTGTACTTGATCACCTTCTCGATTATTAATAACCATGAAACTAAATTTCACGACTTTGACTCAGAATAAATGGATAATGTACGATTCAGTTGATCTTCTCTAAAGATTAATAAAAAGTCGCTGATGCTGTGTTTGGCCACAGAAACGGCGTGAAACGATTCTAGTCGTTGACTTCTATATATAAATTCATAATACAGCGAGAGTTATCTCAAAACGCAGACACAACAATATACTCATCATCAGTAACGTATATAATTCATCATGCATTTCAATTAACATCTTTAAATTTTAATTAAAAAAAATATCGCAGGTTGTGAATTGAAACAAGAATTTCATTGCTTGTCAGCCCTTTTTTCCTGTTCGTGTGTTTTCAAAAGAGTGAGTATTTAGTAATTGACAATATTCAGAACCCATGTTTTCTTGTTTGGAAGGAACCGATTGTGCATAGATAAAATTCGCATGACAAATTTCAAAATGAATCAAATGGATTGGCATTAACGTTCGACATTTCTGATTTCAGAAATAGTTCTGACTGCTATCCAAGAAACCCCGCCTACCAATGCTCTACTTGTATACACGATAATTTCTTAATCTGTCGCGTCAATGAACTGGGGTTTAACGTCCTACTGTTCTGCTCCGGCTGGGCTAATGAAACGGACCGACCACCACGTCAAGTCACTAGCCATGTGCATCATGAAACTATAACACTGTAACTAAATACAATAACAATTCTAGTTAAAGATGATTATCTATAGTATGTTTTTGAAAAGAAATTGCTATGGTGTATGGATTAAAACGAAAGAATTTCGCTAGAACAGAAATTTGGGCAAGATATTTTAAATGCCAAGATACTTGTATACAATAAATGGAAACGGTTTGTAAATTTAAGATTAGATTTCCGATTCGTAAAACCGTCTCCTCAATAGTCACGACACCAACTGCTGCCATCTAGCATCCACCACAAATTCATCAAACCTGAAACGACAAAAATAAATCATAAACATACAGTAAATATCAAATTGGTATAACGGCCTTGCGACTTTCCGACTTGGTTTCCACTTGGTGTTTAGTCGTTCGGATGGGATTCAAACCGCAGGCCTGTGTACACGTTGACGTACACGTAAAAGATCCCTTGAGAGTAAGCTATAGCGCCGCTGCCCGGACACAGTTCCCCTCATAACACACTGCATGGAAAATATTCTTCTTGGTGCAGAAAGGTAGGGCGTTTAAACCCCCATTATTATGATCAAATAAGGCATTACCTTTATATTTTATTTCATTCAGTAATTTTTACAATCTGATTAAAACACAGATCCTGTTTTGTTTCATTTTAATAATTCATCGAAAATATGAAAAACGAAACGAAATATAGATGTGTATTTTAATAATTCATCGAAAGTATGAAAAACGAAACGAAATATAGATGTGTATTTTAATAATTCATCGAAAGTATGAAAAACGAAACGAAATATAGATGTGTATTTTAATGAGATTATAATTTTGAGAACTGTGATGTGGCTTATTTATTTGCATTATGTTTATTTTAAGTAATGATTCTTCTAAGAACCTATGTAACGGTTCGACAGGTAATGGTAAGAGCTCCGTGATAGCCGAGGGAGTTCCTAAGATGTCCTTCTTCATCAGCCTGATATGTACAGACAAGTAAAACGTTAAAACTCATTTCATTTCATTTATATAATTGAGAACTGCAGAATATTTGAAAACTGTTTTTTTTTCGTAAATTCAGCATTACATTTCTGCTTGATTTCATAGAACACGTGTTTCTTGTCGCGTGTTAGCGGCGGTGATCTGGACACCCACACTTAATGGCATACCGTTCTACAGACGATTAAAATAGAACATAATTTAAATTAAAAGTCAAGAATGGCTGAAGCTATCATTGAGAGAGAGAGTGGGGGGAAAGAGAGAGAGAGAGAGATGGGGTTTAACGTCCACCCGACACAAACTAGGTCATTTCTTGACTAACACATGGCTCAATCTTATTTCAATAATTCGCTTGCGCGTAGGGGTCTTTAGCAGTGGGAGGACCCGGAGAAAACCCACGAGGTTGGACAGGCGACCCTACTCCTTGTCACGTACAACCGGGGAATCGAAACCACGCCAGTTGACTCAATGACAGACCTTATGATACAGACCCCCTATCATTGATAAACTTTGCACAATGAGTTATAACCGGGGGTAAAAACTTAGAATCTACTCGACAGATAAATCTACAGTCAGAGAAAAGCAATTAAAAACCTTGCGTTTAACAACGTATGCATCTTTAATGCGTAATCAAATAATCATCAAAATCACACTCGGTCTTTCGAAAATTTTTTAAGACCGTGGAAATTGTTATTTGAAAAATAGATGTGCTGAATACAGCAACATATGCCGCGTTGTTGACGAAGTCCATCAACTCAGATCCTTGACATCACTAACTATTTATTACAGTAATTAAAAATACATCTTTTTTTTTACAAATATCAATTAAAAACTATCATTTCTATATTAACGGGGTGATTAAGATCACGTGACAAGATGTCAACTTTTGACACCACCGTGATAAATCACGTGCAATGACGACAACAGACGTGTTACGTTTTATGAATGGAAGGTTTAAATTAAAAAATCACCAATTCGGCGCAGATTTGTGTTGGTTCTATTGTTGGGGATTCGAGTCAAATAATAACCACGGTGTGGGGTATTATCCCTAATACCCGGTCTTATGATACATTTTACTGGTTTGACCCCGGGGGGTTACAATACATTACATAAGATACGATCAGTCCTTGCTAATGATTGCGGGTCACTTCTGAATAGACAGGTGTCAACTTCGTGATTGAGTCAAAGTGGTCAAGATTCGCACGTGAGACTGACCACCGTCATTAGCTAATGTGGTAATAGTAAGAAAACATTGAGCGGTCACTTAGTGAAATTACACATGTATCTCGCCTTAAGCTTCTTGTATCAAAACTCTAAGAGATACATTCTAACTAGAGCACAGAAAGCGTTACAAGATCCTGGGAAATTATCACTTGAAAGTCTACACAAATTTATAAGAAGGCTCGATCATTATCCCGCGCCAGTGTATATCCAAAATAAGTCCAATTTGTTTGTATTAGGAGGACTGCAGTACACGTAAAACAGAGCCGACAAGACAATCTACATATAAATGAAATGAAATGAAATGGGGTTTAACGTCCTACCGTTCTGCTCCTAAACTGGGCTAATGAAGACGGGCATACGCCATGCAGTGTACTATGAGGGAAATTTTTGCCCGGGCAGCGGCGCTATGGCCTACTCTTTTATCGACTTCCAACTGCCAAGGGATCTTAGACGTGCACTCCAATGTGTACAAGGGACATCGGTTGTTCGTCCCATCCGAACGACTAGACAGCTGTCCTTGTCAGGCCCTCTGTCCTGCATCACTGACATGGGAAACCACGCCGGAAAATGACAAACTACATAGAAATTGCAAGAAATAAACAATAAATATCAAGCAAATGGATCCAGGGGTTCAAAAATGATGAAATCCGAGAACTTTCCAATTATCAAATGACACAATTAATAGGTTGGTGTGTGCGCAAAGTTTCATACAAAATATGTAATAAGATATGTTTTGGAAACAACACCGGGATAGGATCTCTCAATGAACTTCGCTTTTGAACAAAAACCAAAGTAATCCAAATAGAAGTCGTGCATTTACAGCTTTTAACAACAGCAAACCAACGCAGTTGCAGATTGGATAACCATAGGCCGTCGGATCAACTGATTTCTCTGTGCCCCCATCACGGTTTAATAATATTTATAGAATGAGAAAACGAAACTAGCTCGATACACATTTCCTACACACCACTTTCCTCCTAGCATTTGGGCCTCTGTATTTTTTAGTGGATACAAAGATGAATTTTATTTATTTTGAAAAAAAAATATATGTCAATTTCTTTCCTTATGAAATGTATTTTATACATATAATGGACATTCGTTTATTGTTTTTAAAGGAAATTATTAAATCGCTGGCAAACACATAACAAAATTCACTCACAATGAAAACAAGATTATGTACAAATAAAGCAAAAAATATTTTTGGGGTCTTTTACTTTTGTTTTACAATATCTCAGATAAAAAGAGTATGTCAAATAAATAAATACAAATGAAAAAATAATAGATATAAAGGACATATGAACTGAATGCAAACTGGCCCGTGCTTTGACAATCGACAAAAAAAAACCTCCGTTAAACAATGCTAGACAATATAAAGAAATAATAATAAGTTTTTAAACGTTTGAGAATCAAACAATGAATGAAGCAAAACAATGGTACATATTGTGTATGAGTACGTTCAGATTGAATACCATTAATGTTATTGGATCTTATTGTATGTACATAGAACTAACTAAATACAAAATACTAGAAACAATTAGTCATTGATAATGGTAAATAATATAGAACTAACTAAATACAGAATACTATAAACAGTATATAAATAATATGGTCTTAGTTTATATACTTATAGAACCAATTCTAAATTTTAAAAAAGCAACGTAAAGAGAACTTAAAAAATGAAAGCAAAACGGATTTAACGTCCTACTGTTCTGCACCGACTGGGCTAATGAAGACGGGCATACGCCATACAATATGCGATGGAAGAAATGTTTACAGAACAGCGAAATTATTAATAAAGAATTCCAGCTATCAAGGGATCCTATTAGTGCACGCCAATGTGTACAAGGAACCTCAGTTTTCGTCCCATCCGAACGACCATATGCTGTATCTTATCAGGCCCTCCGCCCTGCACCACGCTTGAACATCCCGATGAACATTTTCGGTGAACGTCTTTCTCACTGAGCCATCGCCGAATAATTCGTATAATATTATTATATTATTAATCATTTCGGTCAATGAAACTGTAGTTTGGTGTCAGTTTGGTTTTTTTAGGTCAGAAATTTTGTCGTTTATATACGTAAATACACGGAAGATGGTTCTGTGAAGTAAAATTATTGTTAATTACTGAATGACCTTTCTCTAGTTTTCATAAAGCAATGAAAATGAAATGAAATGAAATGGGGTTTAACGTCCTACTGTTCTGTTCCTAATGGGCTAATGAAGACGGGCATACGCCATACAGTGGCTATGAGGGAAATTATGCCTGACTGCAACGCTACGGCCTACTCTTATATCGAATTTCAAATGCCAAAGGATATTTTACGTGTACGCAAATGTGTACATGGGACCTCGGTTTTTTTTTGTCCCACCATCCGAACGACTAGACAGCGGTCATTTGTCAGGACCTCCGCTCCGTCCTGCACCACTGACAAGGTGAAACCACGCTGGAAAACATCAAGCAATGATACAGATAAAACACTAATATCAGGGCAGTATATATATACATGTAAACAAAACAGTGGATGAATAAAATGGAGTTTAACGTCCTAATTTTCTTCACTTTCCGGGCGGATAAACAAAAACATCCCTCAATGTTTTAATAATATCAGACCATGAAAAAGCAACTGGCCGCTATAATGATTAGAACACAGCAGCAACAAAAATGGCGCTTTAAACAGCCTAAGTGACGTAATACTTTAGCGTGAGTGATGTTTGAAGGATAATGATACTAGCGGGAACACAGACAATTAGATAAGGCTCATTTAGTTATTGTTGAACTAAGATTTAGCGACGTGATATCATTTTATTACAACAAAAAGCAATACATATTATTATTATTTCATACTCATTTTTTATCAAATGATGAAAACGATAAAAGGTACAAACAAGTATCATTGCAATTGTTTATTGTATTTTCACACTTCAAAGACAGCCGACCGTCAAACTACACAGGTATCTAAAACTATTATCGGCTGTCAATAAATTGTTTTTAAAAAATACCAATAAAATAAATTGAAATGAATTGAATTATGATTTGTTAGTTCTGATTTTATTTCAGAAAGCACAAATGTACTTTTTATGGTTTAGATATTTTCAGATTTCAGGTTAGCAGAAACATTTGAAGTCGCACCCATTAATATTTTTTTCTTTTGAATATTTTCATTCATAGCATAAATAAAGTAATTACACCGATATTAACAGAACAAAATTAATCAAATCAAATTGCCAAAAAAATCTGAATTTGTCAATTTCTTGATCAATTGTTAAATATTATAAATAAAAAATATAAATATCTAATAGATTTAGAGGACATTTTTTAATAGTCACGCGAAATGTCTTGTGAAATACGAGAGCTCCACCAAAAGACTTAACAATTATAGGTGGAATTGACTTTTGATACCGTCTGTAGAGGCTGTCGACGATATTACCACTATTACATGTAGGTATTGTTTTTAGAGATTCAACTTCCACATTATTTTGGTTTGCATAGGATTTTAAAATCCTTATATTGACGATCAGGGGGGCTTTAACCCAAGTCAATTAATTATAAAGATTATAAGTATAAACTAATCGCTAGGATTAACTAATGGAAAAGAAAAAAACCACGTCATTCCAGCATGTCAAGTACTCATGTAACCCGATTAATGTACTACCGGGAAGAAGAAAATATCATAAGACAGAGACCTGTTTGATATATTGTGCTAACAGAATTTATTTCTTTTGGAACCAGTTTCTAAAAGACTCTGGTTGCTATGTATGCCAGAACTGTGAGCGTTGTTATAGCAACGTATAGGATGAGTACAAGATTTCCCTTTAATCATTTCCTGGATGAAAGAATGAAAAAAAGAGACAAGAAAAAATAAAGGAATATAAAAACCCGGATTAAAATACAACAAACGTTGAAATCAGCTGTTGGTGAAAAATTTTGTTTTTTTTCTTTTCTTTTACTACAATTGTATAATTTTAGTTCATGAATGTCCTCGCAGTATTTACTACTATATGGAATATATAAGTCATTTTTCAGGCATATCCCCGATGAACTTCGTTGTACAGTTATAGCGAGGTATAAACTATACAAATGATTTTAATATTTTTCCAACATTTAAATAGAGTATATTTTACCCTTTGTAGAATACGTATTTTAAATATTTTCTCGCTTCTTATGTATTTAGGAAAAAAATCGCGAAGTTAATTTTTTTTCTAATAAAATGGCATTTTCTTTTAAATAAAATAGGAAAATCTATTAATTATTTAATCACAATGGCCGACTCCAGGTTAGTTCAAGTAAGTCAATCAGACATTTAATATCGTTGGGTGACATAATTGTAGATAAGAATGATCTTGGAGTGTCCACAACCGTAAATGTCACAAACGATTTGAAGTGTAATGCACCCGATAGTTTCCAATCCATGTACACGGACCTAAATTACTATAATTATTGTACTTTAAACCAAGGTGTTTCAAAGCTGGCGAAATATTTCGAGGACCATCTTAAAATTTCAAAATCTAGCCAAGATTCCACCTTCATTGTAGAAAAGCAACGAGTGTAATTCTCGGGGCACTATTTCACAGGGGCTTGTAGTGAATGATTGTAGTGTTTGGTTACAGAACAAGGTTTCAATTACTAGATGTAGCTTTACGTCTGAATAAATAATGCAAAACAGAAAATAATAGGTACACCCGTTTATTTACTTAATCTGTTAATGTTGTAATACCCGAACAAAGATTGACAATTAAACCATCTCGATTTACTATCATTAAATGTATTCAAATACTTACAAGGATACGTTCAGGCGAAAAGTGTCAAATATTTGTAAAAGTGCCTTCATACCACGATCGAATTTTCGTAACCTCTAGTAACACAAACTTGAAACTAATATGTAACCAGCAATGTCAGATAATAGTAGTATCTTTAACTCTACTACTTTCAACCGAAGTATAGTTCATCTGTGGAAAAAAATACAAAATGAAATAAAATAATAAAATGGAGAGAGAGGGGGGGGGGGGCTGTTAACGTCCTGAAATGAAATGGGGTTAAACATCCTTCTGTTCTGTTCCGAACTTGACTAATGAAGACGGGCATACGCCATATAGTGTGCTATGAGGGACATTTTGCCGGACAGCGGCACTACCGCCTACTCTTATATCGAATTTCAACTGTCTAGGGATCTTTTACACGGGACCTCGGTTGGTTTTTCGTACCATCCGAACGATGTTGTCAGGCCCTCTGTCCTGCATCACTGACAATGGGAGAACCACGCTGGAAAATGTCGATGGACTTTCTCGGCCAATGCAGGGATCGAACACCCGACCTCCAGGCTAGCGAGACAGCGCCTTACCCACTTAGCCACCGTAACCCCCCTGTTAACGTCCGAATGAAGACGGAAAGCAAATGTGGCACTACGCAACCGATCTACAGACACGATAACATAATGTTGAAAGTTCGAGGAACACAGACATAATAATTCATTAAGATGCATTTAGTAATTTAAACTAAAAAACAAATATTATAGGCTTCAAATCACAAGGACGAGAGATACTTTGTAGAAACGTAACTCCGATTAAAATTTAGTAATTATCTTCTATAGAACTGCTGTTATTGTTTTGAAGACCTTTATGTTGTTTACGAAAAGTGTGGTTATTGACCCCATACGTTCCATTTTGTAATATTGACAACCGAATAAAGACAACAACGTTCTTAGTTGTATCAATATTTCGCTTATTTTGTTCTAAATAAGAAATATGAAGATAAATCATCAGTTACAAGTTTCATTTCTTTACAAACAAAACGTTAATGTTTTAACCAACTAAAGTAATTTGGAAACAGACCAATTTATTTCCGTGGACGTGTAATACGGACGTAAATATTTCAGAAGTGTTTTTATTCTAATACACCGTCTATATATTTTTATATGAAACTTTTATACATGGAATTAAAGAAACTATCTAAAATAAAATTGAGTTCCCATCCTATTGATGTGAAATAGGCCAATATGTATCGACGTATATTAAACCCAAATTGATTGTGATATATTGAATGACATATAAAAATGGGCGTTATGGACGTGAATAAACTCATTCTTTTTTTTCTCCCACCTACATATATCCACCTGAGGGACACCATCTGGCGGTGAGATAAATAATACTTGCTTGTCAATTTCACTTTTATAAAAATACTGATTTATGTCAAGTCAATTTTCAATAATTAACATAGTAATACCGACTCGTTGTTACCGATCAATTTTTCAACCCGGATTCATATTGAAATGAAACGTAAAGACGCGTTTTCCTTTCATGATAAACAAATAATAAAATACTGTAATGTAATCCGACGTATCAGATACACGTTCATTGTTAGGGTATTAATACTAATAGAAAATATCAGCGTTTAGCGTCTATTGGTTTTATTATCAACCTATTTTCTGTGGCTTATTGCTAATTCAGATTTGTTAGAGAAGGAGTGAAAATGTTACGGGGATTTGAATTAATAAAATAAAGTGATAATAAGATATTATTTGATATTAACTGATGGAAGGTTGTTTCGTATTTATAGGTTTATAAACACATCACTAATAAAAATTGATTCATAACGGGCGGTTGTGGAACAGTTGGGCAGATTGGCCACCCAAAACATAGTTCCAAAATGAAGTCATAAGATAGTATAAGAGCTAGAGAATACAGTATTTATAGGTTTCTTAACGGGCGGATTTTGTAAAGATCGCCACACAGAGAAATAGTTCCAAAATAGTTCTAATGTTTGACATAGTACAGTTAATATATCTGTAGCGGAACATAACATGTCCTTAACGCGATTCGACTTTCCACATTTGGCTGCTCTGTTGCACCCGACACTTTCAGGCATCTAGTATATACAAGGCTTAATTGACGATCAAATGTAGTGAAATATTCATTCTAAAACGTTTGCAATTATTAAAGATTATGTGTAATCTGTGTTGATATCATTTGGCCTCTCTGTTGCGCCTGACACTTTCGAGCAGTTAATATATGCAATGTTTATATGAAAAATGCAGTAACATTCCTTTCAAAAACTTTAATAATTAAATTAAAATTATTAAAGATTACAAGATTTCATCTTTGCTCATATCATTGACGTAGAAACAGAACAGCAGGACGTTAAACCCATTTTATTTCATTTCAAATTCTTGAAACAAAATAACATTAAAGTTAGATATCATCAAACATTTGAAAATAAAATAAATTAGATTTATTTACATTAAATGAATAAAGCAACTTGGTTCTCCTGTCCTTACGGGTTCTTAAATCCAAATGAAATATTTCTGACATTCTGAATATAAATTTTGTTTTCAGTTATATCCTTTGTTTAATTTACTATGTCAGGGCGGACGTGCAAAAGAAGTGCACACTTATATTTTCCTAAGTGACTATAAGAACATTTTCAAAATTATTTATTTAATCATATAAATAACCCATTGATGACATAAGTGTATGCTAGTTTGCTGCAGTGGCCCCTACTTTCTGAAATTCGTACATAATATTTTAAAGTATTTAGATCCGGTGTATTCTAATGGGTGGGCATTCCCCAAGTAGTTTACGAAAGTGTACAGAAGTAATGTAGAGCCACTTTGTATGACCAGAATCATCATAGTAAAATTAAATCGTTAGTTTTCAAGTAAATTCTAATTTTGTTAAATTAAAAAATGAAATATAATTGATGGGTCCGGACATAATGTACACCAACAACATGATAAAAGTTATCATTGGGTTACGAAAAAGAATTGCTTCCCTCTGCCTTTTAGTTCGTGGACATATGTACTTGGCCGTTTTGTTCAATGACAGTGTCCCGAATTCATAATTGCTATAGGAAAATGCTGGCCTATTGAAAGCCAACGGGGCTTTATTCTTTCAGCTTTAACGTCAAAGTATTGTTGGTCAATTTTTAATATTTTCTACTTAATAGACCTGATCGCGATTTACCTAAATATTTTGTCTGTAATTCTTTTTTACGACTTTGATCCGGACATAATCTACACGGACAGTAAGCTACGTAATGCACATGGACAACATGACAAAAGTTATCATTAGGTTACGGAAAAGAATTGCTTCCCTCTGCCATTTTGTTCGTTGGCATATGTATTGGGTCATTTTGTCCAGTGATATAATGTCCCGAATTCATAATTGCTATATATCAAAATGTTGGTCTATTGAAAGACATCGTGGCGTCATTATTTAATCTTTAGCGTCAATGTATTGTAGGTCAATCTGTAGTATTTTCTACTTAATTGCCCTGATTTACCTAAATATTTTGCCAATTTTCGTCTGTAATTCTTTTTATACGACTTTGTCCCGATGTGTTTTATTCTTTTCCTACCAATTTAGATCGCCTGTTAGATACAATATGCCTTGAGGCGAGATTTTCTCCGGTGCCGACATGTTTTAATTGGTTAGAAAAGTGTTTGTTTTAAGTCGGTCGCCTATAAAAGCAAGGACAATGGTGCTGAAGTTCAGATTCGTTCGAAAATTATTCAAAATTTTCTCCTTGCTTGGGAACGATGCTTCATTTTCACCCTCGGGCAAATTTGTCGTATTGGACAAATGTACTGTTCTCACAGAATAGTTTGATGTTGAGAAAATCAGAGTGTAAAATAGGACTAAGAAGAGGAGGAAACGAGACAGGCGCCATTAACGAGAACGCCACGAGACAGATTGAACATGAGAAGCAGTGTGACATGAGTTTTAGAACGCTAGAACGTGCTCACGTGGTATTAAGAGCTTTAACTAGTTATTTTGAAATGTCTTGTAGAGGTTTGGCGAAACAATGGACCACAATTAGGGATATTAAAGAAATTTAGTTACTTGTAGCTGTATAGAAGATGGAGTCGCCACTCTCTACGTGCGATCTCGCGTTATGAACAAGATCCGCGTAAATTAACGTGCGGTTTAGATTTCAGTTGAGCCACTTTTCTTCTGCCATGTCGCGTCTGTAGGATATCCGACCCCCATACTCCTTAATTTGTATCAAATCTTAGAAATGTTAGCCACGCATCTGCTCAAGAAATTTTGATACATGATGACATTTTAAATGAACTACAATATAGTTTATAATTAAATTAAAATTCAAATCTTTTTGAATTTGAACTCACGTGCCACTTAATTTGTATGAAATAAAAGCATTGTCGACCAATGTACTTAATGGTTATAATATAAATTCAATGAGTGTGTGAAAATAACAATTTATATACATTAATAACAAATTTTGAAAATAATTTAAAATACACAGTTATTCAACATATGTGTAATGGTATGACGAAGTTGTACTGCAAGATGATGAATTAGGTACATGAAAATGTACAACGAAACCGGATAGGCATGTGACCAATACCCATGCTAAAGAGTGAAAGATATAACAATATCTGCCAAATTGTCTCTACTCATTGTAAAAATGGCTGCTAGCTTAGCTTGTGCTTTTCTCGTTATAAAAATGGCTGCCAGCTTGTGTTCGTCTCATTATAAAAATGGCTGCCAGCTTGTGCTCTGCTTATTTTAAAAATGTAGCTGCCAAATTGTGCTCTTCTCCTTACATGAAATTTCTGCCAAATTTGAATTAGTCCCCTGTAACCGTCAACACATCTATCGCACTTAAAATAAAAATGTTTTTTTAATTTTTCTTATGTCACCCCTGATAATTTCATTTTTCAAAAAAAGAAAAAAAGAATTATTTATAAGAAACTTATTGTTTCATTATAACCCTAAAAATATAATACAATGTTAATTTGCTTAATGCTATACAAAATCTTTTTTCTTTTTTAAAAAAAAAACAACAATTAATTTTTAATACCAAAGATATAAAAATAAACAATAATTGTTATTATTAAGTCAACAATTATGTGCCAGAGTATACCACAGAGAAAACTTGTAGTTATTCTTGTGTCATTATGAATTATTCAAACCATCTTGAATGTTTAAGC